GGCGCCAGCCATATATACCTGAGCTGGCGGGTTTGAATCCAGCCCAGGCCCGCCAAACAACGACAGCTGCAACCAAAAAATAGCCAGGCGTTGTGGCAGGTGCCTGTAGTCCCAGCTACTTGGGAGGCAGAGGCAGGAAAACTGCTTGAGCCCAGGAGTTGGAGGTTGCTGTGAGCTGTGATGCCACGAACTCTACCCAGGGCGACAGTTTGAGGCTCTGTCTCAAAAAAATAAATAAATAAATAAAAATAAAAATAAAACATTTTCTATTAGACTTCTTATAAATCTAAAAGCATTCTTCTCTTTCTAAACCTAAGTCTTCTTATATTCCAAATAGTAAAGGTTTTATTAGTGTACTTCTTTTATAATTATTTTGCTTTTAGTTAAATATTATTTCTGGATTTTTTTTTTGGAATATTTTTATGTCAAGACATCTTTTTTAAATATCAGTTGTATCAACTGGTATAAGCCCAATTTGAAAAAATAATTAATCTATACAGTCTTAACATATGATGGTCCAGCTCTCTCTTTCCTTTCTTCTCTTTCTTCCATCCCTTTCTTTCCTCTCTTTCTCTCACTTTCACTCTCTCTCTCTTCTACACATTCAGGAAAACGACTCTAGTAACAAATGAGCAAACTATACAAGTGATCCCTGAAAGTACTGTCTTGAACTGTACACTTAAAATGGGTGAATTGTGAAGTGTGTGAATTTTATCTGAATAAAGATGTTATTTAAAAAAAAAAAGATGCCCCAACTTTAACACTGTAGTTTGCACACTGTACAAATAATAACAAATTTAAGAAAATCTGATCTAACTTCTACATAAATTTGTAAAACTGACCATTTAATGGAAAATTAACTATCACTTTTGTCCCAAGAACTACAGATTAGCATTAGTTATTCCCTAAGAGCCAAACAAGGACAAAACTATAGATGTATTTAATATTGATGCTAATAACTACAAATTTATGAAAATGCATGTAATATAACACTATTTGGAGAAACAAAGGTAATTTTTAAAGTTAAAACAAAACAAAACCTTAAAGGAAATTAAAATTAAATAGAAACTCAAAAGTTTTTAGACTCTAGATGAGCCCAAATGGTAACAAACCCACAGAAGGCTTAGGATCCACAAAAGGCATAAACCTGGACATAGGTCCTGCTAAGACCCTAAGTTAGAAGCTGCACCCAAGGTGAAAGAAAAAACAACCAAAATACTAAGAGAAAGGGTTCTTTATGGTGTTGGGGTCTGGGTTTGGGGCCAGAACTAACATACACCTTTATAGGTTTCAACTGAGAACTGCTGTGAAAAAGGCAAACTTGGGGCAGGACCAAACCCAGGTTCCCCAGCCAAGTTTCTCCTCTCAGGGCCTTTCTCAGTAACTTTCCACTATCATCAGAGACGGGAGGATAATGAACAGGAGAGGTCTCCTCCAGGGCTCGTGCCCATGGAATTCACAATCTTCAAGATTTCTTTTCTGTACTCTACTCATTCTATTCACTACAGTACAGAACTCACGGTTGACCCTTTTAAAATAAATTACTTCACTGAATGTTTACAATATGCTCAGATCTATGATTCTAATCTCAAAACTTTTTATAGATTTTGTTTTAGTAAGATTTCAGAAAAATCCAACAGACAGTACAGAGAGCTTCTATATAACTACCTGTCCAACCCACACCTGCACAGTTTCCCCTATTATTAATTTCTTACATTATTAGCATGGTACTTGTTACAATTAATAAACCAACACTGATACTAACTAAAGTCTACAGATATTCGAGTTTCCTTAGTTTTTACATACCGTCCTTCTCTTTTTATTGTAGGGTCCTATCCCGGATATTATCACACAACATTTACTTATCATGTTTCTTGGTCTCTTCTTGTCTTTTTTTTTTTTTTTTGAAACAGAGTCTTACTTTGTCACCTTTGGCAGAGTGTGGGGCATCAGAACTCACAGCAACCTCAAACTCTTGGGCTCAAGTGATTCTCTTGCCTCAGCCTCCCCAGTAGCTGGGACTGCAGGTGTCTACCACAACGCCCAGCAATTTTTTTTTTTAAGAGATGTGGTCTCGCTCTTGCTCAGGCTGGTCTCAAACCACTGAGCTCAGGCAATCCAGCAGCCTCACCCTCCTAGAGTGCTAGGATTAGGATTACAGGAGTGAGCCACCATGCCCAGTGGTCTCTTTTTGCTTTTGATAGTTTCTAAGACTTTGTTTTTTGATAATCTTCACATTTTGACGAGTACTAACTAGTCAGATATCTTACAGAATGTCTTTCACTTTAGGTTGACCTAAATATTTTTCTCATGGTTAGACAAAGCTTATGAGTGAATATTCAAGAAGAGACTCCAGTAAAGCACTGTAGATTATCTTTGGGATTAAAGGTTAACTACCTACCACTGTTAAAAGATCATCAATAAATCTACTTGCGCTTCTCAATTATCTAGAAAATTTCAATGTATGCCTACTTTTTTTGGATCATTTTCAAAATATGTAAGACAACCCTCCCCCCAAAGCCCCCAAATACATAAGACTTATTATTCCAAAAGTTCAAATTCAATTATAAAACTTAAATTCCTTAAAAACCAAATATGTATGCTGAAACAAAAAGGCAACATGTTCTGTATACCAAGTTAAAACTAAATAGAATAGAATGTGAATTCCTTACTTCTTTGGCTTCATTTTCACATACATAAGCTGAATGATGTAACCACTTTAACACTCCTCACAAACATTAGTAAGACCAAAATGAAAAGACTAATGAAAATACTTGTAGAAAGCAAATAATTTTTTCATGTCCCCAACTTTTTATTTTGAAAATTTTTAAATAATAAATAAGTTAAAAGAATAGTACAGGTTGAGAATTCCTAATCTGAATACCTGATATTTGAAATGACCCAAAATTTGAAACATTTTGAGTGCCAACATGACACTGAAAGGAAATGCTCACTGCAGCATTCTGGCTTTCACAGTTTCAGATTACAGATCCTCAACCCCAAAGTACCATGCAAACATTCCAAAATCTGAAATTCCTAGATCTGGTCCTAAGAATTTAGGATAAAAAGATACTTAACCTAAGAAATGAACACTCATTGCTCATTAAGTATGTATATTCCCCATTCAGATTCAAAAACTGAATACTGTCAACCTACAGTAAATAAAAATTCACATTTAATAGAAGTAATTAGGATATATAAAAATCTTTGAGTTATAAACTCAATTAAGATAATTTCTTAACATCCCTTATCTTTTCTGTGTCTGGCCTAAAGAAATTAAAAACTTAATGAAAATGCTCAAATAAATTAACATACAGCTAGTTATTTTACATGAGTAGCGTCTAAGTTAAACCTTCCAAAGAACCATTTAGCATATTCTCATAGGGAAAAAAGACCAAAAGTAAAATTGTCTAAAATTATGGAAGGTTTTATATTTAAGAAGGATAATAAATATATTCCCAAGTAATCCTAGGATAGTACCCAAAAGTGGTCCTTGTAGCATCTGTAACTGTTACCTTGGATCACAAAAAGAGATACTGGTTTCTAAGAAATTCAAATTCTTTGAATTTCAAGTCTAAATAACTGTGAGATAGGTCCTTATCAAATAAGTTTTAGATTTCTAGTAGACAGGAAAAATCCTAATATTCTGAATATAAAATTGTAGACTATGAATGTTAAGAATTCAAAAATGGAGGCTGGCTTGGCGCCTGTGGCTCAAGCGGCTAAGGTGCCAACCACATACACCTGAGCTGGCAAGTTCGAATCCAGCCTGGCCCACCAATCAACAATGACAGCTGCAACCAAAAATTGCCAGGGCATTGTGGCGGGCGCCTGCAGTTCCAGCTACTTGGGAGGAGGAGGCAGGAAAATCGCTTGAGCCCAGGAGTTGGAAGTTGCTGTGAGCTGTGATGCCATCGCACTTTACCCAGGGCGACAGCTTGAGGCTCTGTCTCAAAAATAAATAAATAATGGAGATAAGAGTAAAAACAATAGGAAAGGCTAGTTAACAGCCATGTCCATTACAACATGTTAAGAAGACAAGGGCCAAAGAGAAATTCAGATGCCCTTGAAAATTTCAAAAGCTCTTTTAAACTCCAACATTTAAAACTGCAACCTTAAACTGTAGTTATGATCTGGTATAACTAGTTACGGTGGAAATGGTCCTCTCACATATTTTTAATCACCAGTAGTCCCATTAGGAAAGGTAAGTTACTGATTATTTAAGATAAAAATGTAAGGCACTGATTCTTTAAGAACAGTTTAAACACATCTAAATATCATTCCATATAAATTGCAAGTAAGCCAAAAGCAGACAAACTCCTCTGAAATAAGTTTTATACTTTCTTACTACCAATGATTTCAACGTTCTAAAATAGAAAATTAATTTTGTTATATATGTACATATATTTAGTAATTGAATATACCATGTGACATAAAAATTAAGAACAAATTAATATCTGGTCCTAGAGGAAATTTAAAAACTTAATAAGATTATTTATCCCAAATAATAACAAATAGAGCAATAAATAAATAAAATATTGTGTGTAGTTCAGGATAAAAACAATGCATATATATTCTCTTACTGGAAAAGTATTTTTAAAGAATTTAGTTTGTCATTAAGAATGCCTTGATGTATTTGAAAATTCTAAGTATGTAAATATTGAATTCACTGTCATATTTATAATTAAGTCTTGGTTAAGCAGAAGTCTTTAGTATAACTAAAAGACATAAAAGCAAAAGACAACTGCTTTCTGCTACACATGTATCTAAGAAATATTAAGAAATGAACTAAAACAGTCTTCTCATTGTCTTCCATGATCTGTTGATTACATGCACTATTTTTTATCTCTTTTCTCCCTGTATTATATCGCCATCAACCTCAAATTTAAAAAAAAATCATCTGTTCCTTAATATGTCCTTGTATGTTTTCCTAAGGGTGAGAGGATGGGGTGGAAGGAAGCCAGGAGAAAGAGTAGCTATGAGGAAATTTAGCACCATACCTTTATAGCTAGAAAATTCAGTCCACTCTCACTGGCCAAAGCCTTTGCTATCATTGTCTTAGAGCATCCAGGTGGCCCATAAAGAAGAACTCCTTTAGGTGGCTGAATACCCATTCGGATGAAAGACTCTGGATGTTTCAAGGGCCATTCAATAGCCTGTTTCAATTTCAGTTTGATATTTTCCAGTCCTCCTATATCAGACCAGGATACCTGCAAAGCAAATATTTTCTAAATGTAAATTTTGCCAGAAAAAAAGAGAACTTTAAAAAAAAAAAGCAACAAACAAGTACAAAAGACAACCATTTAAGAATTAGGAAGAGCCATAAAAAATTTCCAAGAATGCCAACAAATAAGGAGTTCATAAAATAAAATATATGCTGCATATTGTACAAATACTTAAAACCAAAATATTTCTGCTTTAATCTTATACAAATAACTTTAATTAAACATCTATCCTCATTAAAAGTTCGGTTTCATCATTCAGACAATGGTTAGAGTCAACGATCTAAGGTTTCATCTACATATCTAACTACTTCTTAGTTTTTAGTGAAATTACTTCCAAGTATATTTTAGATCCTTACAGAATATGTGATCTTTTTTGTCTTTGGCATATATAATACAAAGTATCCTAAAACTTTCATTCCCTTTTTCAATGAAAAAATACCCCCCAAAATAAAACTGCTCTTTGTATATTGTTCACTAACACATATGGCTTAAGAATTAACTGTGTACCAGATAACATGCACAAGAAACAGAAAAGAGTGAAACATGAATCCACAGTTTAAAGGACTAAACCAGTAACAACCAGTAATGTACACTTAAATAACCACAGTCCGGCTCGGCGCCTGTAGCTCAACTAGCTAAGGCGCCAGCCATGTACACCTAAGGTGGCGGGTTCGAATCCAGCCCGGACCCCCGCCAAACAACAATGACGGCTGCACCAAAAAAATAGCCGGGTGTTGCGGTGGGTGCCTGTGGTCTCAGCTACTTGGGAGGCGGCGGCAGGAAACTCGCTTGAACCCAGGAGTTGGAGGTTGCTGTGAGCAGTGAAGCCACAGCACTCCACCCAGGGGGACAGCTTGAGGCTCTGTCTCAAAAAATAAATAAATAAATAAATAACCACAGTCCAATGGACAGGATACTAAGTGAAACAACAAAGAAACAGAAAAAACCTTTGGGAGTTCCCAGGAAGAAAAGATTACTTCCAGCTGGAAGGCAAATCTAAAAGCCAATTTTTGAAGGAGATTTGGAAATGTCAAAACAGGGAAATGGACAGGTAGTAGACACAAAAGGCTCAGAAGGAACGAAGTACAAAGAGGGTGAGAGAAAAAAGATTTGAGAAAGAGAAACAAAGAAAAGTTGAAACCATATTAATATCACAGGACCCAGAAGATGAGATGAAGGAATTCAAGATAACTCTCTGTAAATACTAAGAAGTTTTTGAAGGCTTTAACCCAGAAAGTAATACAGTCTGATCTGTGTTTCTTGAAGACCTCTGACAAGATTCTTTAACAAGGGAATTCAATTAAGAATACAAACATGTATATTTTTTAAAAAAGCTTGAACTACAGGGTAACCATATGCAGATAATGAAGACATACCAGAAAAATACTACAAATCTATAATTGAGGGTTCTGAGGACAGAATTAAAAAAAAAATGGGAAAACTTAAAGCTAAAAATTTCATGATGAAAGAGGGAATATGGACTATGGAAGAGTATCTTCAGGAGGGAAAATAATATAGATTTTCTTGGATACACAGAGTTGGAACTTATGGTACTCAAAAGATCAAAGTGAGTACTTATACCTGTAATCTCAGCACTTTAGGAAGCCACAAGTTTGAGACTAGGCTGAGCTACATGGCAAGACTCTATCTCTAAAGAAAATATAAAAATTAGCTGAGTGTGATAGCATGAGGTGGTTGTCCCAGCTACTTGGGAGGATGAGGCAGGAGGATCGCTTGAGTCCAGGAGTTGAAGGTTGTAGTAAGTAAGCTATTATGACACCACTATACTCTATCCTAGGTGACAGAGCAAGACTCTGCCTAAAAAAAAAAAAAAAAAAAAATTAAAAAGGGAGCACTTGGAATGTACAGTAGCACAAATGGAGCATGGTGTTCCAGAAAAGAAGACAGTGTTAGAATTTTAGATTTCAAGGTATCCTCATATAAGCAAGAGAAGACAGATGTGAGTCAAAGGCAGATCACTGGGCATCACTTAAATCAATTTAAGAGACAGGAGGGGAAGCTGCAAGAAGAAATACCAGAAAACAGGCAATTTACAAATACAAAGGAGAAGAGAGGGCTTTGTTAATATCAGAAGATTACTTTTTCCAATTTACATGGTTTTGAGGGGGAATTTTGTTGTTACTTTCTGTTCATAGATCCAGAAGAAGGCTATATTATCAACCAAAATCCATAGATTAATTTCTTTTTACTAAATTGCTCTTTCAGGACTTATTTTAAGAAGATTACTGGATTTAAAGGCATGAACATTTACAGTTTGCTATCCCCTCAGTTTACCTCTTTTAATGACACCAGCAGTAGGTATGTAAGTTTCCCCGCTGCAGCATCAGCCTCAGGCTTTTTTTTTTCTGATTTCTAACTTCAAAAATTAATAAAATTAAAAATTAAACTCAAGACTGAGACATATGAGCTTAAGGCTCTCATAACATCCAGCTATCACTGGCAGAATCAAATTTATTGTTTATCAGAAGGAACGACAGTTAACATAACTGGGCCTGCTTTAGGCAGAAGTGCAGCAGAACCACCACATCTTGATGGGTACTCCCTGCTTACACTCTCTGATATCTTTTATCTTTTCAATTTTTAAATTTGATTTTGGAAAATCTGAAACATATACAAAAGTTGGAAAATAAATACAATAAACGTCTATATACTCTGCCAAAACTCACCAATTATAAATATTTGCCACATTTGGCCTAGTGTGTGGTCTTGCTCTTTCTGTGGACACACATATAGACAAATATGATGTGCACACTCATATACTTTATCATTTTTTGAATTTTCTGTTGAACCCTTTTAAAGTATGCTGCAGATAGCATGTCCCTTTTCTCTCAATACTTTAACATAACTCTCATAAAAATAAACACTCTTGGAAGAGAGTTTTAAAGACAGTAGTCAAAAATTAAACATAGAGAATTGAGATTTAGCAATAAAGTCACTGAATAAAGTAGTTTAATCAGCTCAGGAGTTTATGTTTTTTGCCTTTAGCAAGGGAATACATATATATACACACACACACACACACAACACACATATAATATATAATGTGTTATGATACTACATGACAGCCTTCACTTGTTACTATACCCTTATTATACTTAAACAGTGAAAAGAATACACTCTCTGTGAACATTCTTTGTGAAGAGAGATATTTCCATACCTTAGAGCAGGCGTTTTCCATACCTTGCCTCAGCCTCCCAAGTAGCTGGACTACAGGCAACCCACAACACTCAGCTATTTTTTGATTGTAGTTGTCATTGTTTGGCAGGCCCGGGCCGGATTTGAACCCGCCAGCTCTGGTGTATTTGGCTGGCACCTTAGCCGCTTGAGCTACAGGCGCCACTCACTTCAACCATTTTTAAAAAGTTTTAAAGAAGAGGGTGACACCCATAGCTCAGTGGTAGCGCACCACCCATATACACCCAGGCTGGCGGGTTTGAACATGGCCCGGGCCAGCTGAACAACAATGACAACTCAACAAAAAAATAGCCAAGCGTTGTGGTGGGTACCTGTAGTCCCAGCTACTTGGGAGGCTGAGGCAAGAGAATCGCTTAAGCCCAACAGTTTGAGGTTGCTGTGAGCTGTGACACCACTGCATTCTACCCAGGGCAACTTAGTGAGGCTCTATCTCAAAAAAAGACAAAAGTTTTAAAAAAGAAATTAAAATCAGATATTGAAGCCTTGAAGCCTTTCCATGAAACACACAACTTGAAAATCATCAAAATAAATGGTAAGAAAATCCGTAAAGAGAAGATCTCTTTAGTTAGGCCATCAGGAAGAAGTGGCAAACTGATCACTTGGACAGAGGGTTGGAGAGGGCTTGATCCTCAAAAGAAATTAAAATGCTCTTACCAGAAAACTGAATGTTCACTGAACACAAAATAGTTCATAAAAGTACCCCCTACATGTTCTTAGTAATCTATACTAAGGAGCAGGTCCATTGTCTCAAAGACCATAACCATTGTGGACTAGTCAAACAATCCTGTTTCTACTTCTCTCCTCACATTCTGGGCTCTTAATTCATCAGAGCTCTTCTCTACGCCTGTCTTAATCGTATTCTTCACTATATTCCTCCCTAAGCTTACAAATACTCAGTTTCTCACTCTTCTTCAAAATAACACTTTACTTTGATATTGTTTCTACTTAATACTATCATATATCCTTCTTTATAACCATTAAACTTCTTAAAAGATAGTTAATGCCCCTTCTATTGCATTTATATCTCCACTTTATATTTTAAGTTAATTGAATATTCCCCAAGTAGGATGTCTGATAAAGGAGTGTAAAAGGGTCAAGATAATAGGCTTAAGGTTAGTGGGAAAGCATGGAATTGAAGGAGTTCTATCTGAAGGTGTCTAGTCTCTAAAAATTAAGACAAGGTCCACAGAAAGAAATATCAATTGATCTAATACTGAGTAAATGTCTATTTCATAACACACTGGGGTTCCTGAGGATACAATAAATAATTACTATCCATACCAAGCTTCTGATCTGATGAAATATTTCCGTATAAAGTCGTATTTTCATAATTACTATGTAGCATGCTACTTGCTAAAAGGGAAGTCACGAAATTTAGATAAGGTAGAATCTCCATAGTTAACCACCTCCTTAAACTGACCTAATTTTCACAGACCACACATGCACCACATGTACATATCAATACAGTAGGCCTAGTTCCTTATGTTGACCACCTCCTTATATTGATCTGTTACGGTCCCTTGGGTGGTCAATGTACAGAGATTCTACTATAGGTGGTCAGGAAAAGCTTTTTCAAAAGTACCATATGAGATAGGACCCAATGAACATACAGGAATTAGCCAAATGCAAGTCATAATGAATGCCAAGGAGAAGAGGAAGGGAAAAAAAGCACTAAATCGTAGGAAAACTAAAAGCAATTTGGAATGGCTAAAATTTAGGTAAAAACAAAAGAGGTAAGGAATATTGGGAGTAATCAGCCCAAAAGACAT